TTTTTGAGTTAGGTCTCTTTAGATCTCGGTGTGCGATATAAGAAAAAAAAATTAAATAAGCTATCGCAAATTCAGGGGTTTAAAATAATCAAATAAACTGTGCAATAAGTAGACGGGAAGTAATTGTAACATAATCTCGGACTCCCTCTGCTCATCGCTTTGATAAGACTATAGCGGAATTGTTTTTAGAAAATACGGTGGCGTTGCATTTTGATGTCCAACTGTTTATAAGATCAGCTAAAAATGAGCGAAGGCGCTTATCAGCAATAATACATTTATTTGATGTAAAATTTCCCATACTATTAAGTAACTGATACAGTTGGATGGCTGACTGAGTTGGATTATGCCTCGAAAACCTAAGGAGACAAATTATTCAGTTTACAGCTAAGCCATTAAGTGCTGTTAAGTACTCAATAACCTTGAAGACTGGACAGATTCTGCAGCTTACAGCTAAGCCTTTAAGTGTCTCTGAATACCCAAGCATTTTTCCGCCATACTTGACTGATTACACTTACATCAGTTGGTACCAAAATATTTCCCGCAGAAGAATCACTTTAAAGCAAATAAACGCGCCGCATAAAAACTCTCTCTGATCCTTTCTAACTTAGATACAATAACGAGTAACTGAGCTTAAAGCTCGGCGAGAGCGTTCCTGCGCTGCAAAAATGTACATAAGTATGTTAAGCAGCGTGAAGGGTTTCACCGGGTCATCAGTGAACCTAGAGCCGAGAATCCTACCATACTAAAAGACATAAAGGCCATCACTACCCCGTCTGGACTGAAAGGATGAACTACAAAATATTTTGATTGGGGAAAATCGAATATACTTTGTCGAGATAAAACATCGAAAACCTGAAAAATTAAACAAGGACTCCCACAGGGTGGTGTCCCCTTCCAAGTTTTTTATAGATTTGAAATGTCGACGAACCCCAACTACCAGAGGCAGATAGTTAAATTTTTAGCTACACCTTTGGTTGGGAGCATATATGTTCTCTAATGTCCAGTGTATCTCTCCGCTACCATTTCTGTGAAATTGGTAAACAGTATCTCCAAAGCGGAATTGTTGAGAATCGAGAGTACTTGTGCAATGTTAAAGAGTAGGAGTAAGCATGTATTTTTCTATATAGCCAAGCATATCTTCTTTCACTAGCCTCATCAGTGACGAATCCCAAATCTATTAGGGATTGAAGGATGCTAATTTTTCCGGCTGAAGCCCGTTTGCATCCCAAGTCATAGAAACATATACGGCAACGGGAGAGCTTGCGAACGGTTCAGATCTGGATAACAGCAAGGAAACTATCATTTCCTTCCTTTGGGTATGTTCAGTCCTGATGCATAGCACGTAACGGACACTACTAGGTCTCCAAGCACTCCCTAACAAACATCAGGTTTTTCGACGAATCCAACTGGTTTGAAGAACAACGGCAGGTAGTTTCTAATACCATGCTACTAAGAAGACATAGAAGCTTCCTCTTTCCCATAAGGACTCAAACTTTGCTTAGCGATTTATCTGAGTGGTGGACACTCAACAGTTATTTTTATAGAAAAAATTTCAAATCCGAGGAAAATTAAGCTGTGGGTTACACTGGGCGGAGTTCTCTCCCCGCTTCTTTTTCCTCTCTTCTACTTTTCGAAACTCCTCCAACTACTAGAAGGAGTCTCCATCATCTCGTACGCTGATTGCTGCTGGCGTTCAGCAATAGAATTGATGACCTGTGCTCAAATATAAACGGTTGCCTCTCCGAACTTTCTCGCTTCTTCACTGTGAGGAGCCGAACCCAGCCCCAATAGACATCCTCAGGAACAGAACAACCCAAAAATCCTCGGATTTAACCTTCGATAGGCTGTCAGTAAGGTAGCTCAACATATAGTGATCAGCAAGCAGTTCCTAGTCGTGTGCTACAGACGTGAGCACCCGAACAGATAATAGCTCGATTCGAAACCTCCACCTAGACACGTAAGGAGGCATTTCTACGAACTGAAGGACGAGGTCCAACACTACGTACAACAACTACTGGACCTTTGACTGTACAGACTGGCAATCAACGGCATTCACAGAGAGCGTAATACATACCACCTACACAGACTCCCGCCCTGGGAATGCCATCATCGATGTCCAAGCGCTACCTGTGGATAATATCGAGGCTCCAATTACCAAAACCCGCGTAACTCTGGCCAAGTTATGGTCTGAGTGTCCAACATGTGGAAATTCTCTCCACGACACCTGCCACCTCTTCACATGCCCACTCAACCCAACTCAGCTAACGCCCCTCTCGAACAGAATATTTCTAGGGCCTGCTTTTAGTTCACTTCGACGAAAATGATTGAATTACTGTCCAACCTTGGCAGGGCTAAATAAGGTCGCTACAACAACAACTACATATTCAAATAGCAACCTCGCGTGGTAATTAGGTTCAATATACCCAAGGACTCTCTTACCAGATAAGCCGCCATAACAACAAAAATTTGGGGTAAAGAATTCCCTGTGTATCAAAAGTCAAAAAATCATCGTTTGCATGTTGCCAGCAGTCTGTACCTACTTAAAATTAAATTATGTAAATATTTTTTTTTAAATTGTTGGCCTATAATTTTCAAAACAAAACTTTAACCCATTTCTATACTCGGTTAAATAAATATCAAACATATGAAATAAAACTTTTCTCAAATAAATCAACTTTCAAACTACGCATCCAATAACTTTAAATATTCATTTCAATAAAATATTCCATTGCATTTATTCGCTTAATTTTCCCAGCCACTGCGTGTCAATATTGACTTTACCAAAAACTCACAATCAACTTTTCATGCCAGAAATTCAAATTCGATTTTAAACAAAATTCAAAAATTCCCAACAAAAAACATCCATTCGTTTGGATAAATGCATAAACATGAGTGGGCTGGAGCGGGTGTACATACATACATATGTATGTACATAGAGTTGTGCCAATTAGTTTGCAATCAGTTGATTCTTCGAATTACGATTTTCGCATTCCAACCATAACCAATGAATAAATTTGGAAAGTGTGCGCATATTACTTATCAATTCGGCAAGATTTCCCATTTATGTAGTTGAGTTGCGTTCAGTTTGAGTTCAGTTAGTCGAGAGGGGGAAGGTGTCATAGGTGTGATTGCTGGGCTGGCAACAACAATGGTGGAACATCAGCAATAGCAGCTGCGTAACGGTAAAGCGATAAAGCGACAACTTTCGCTGGCACCCAACCCCAACTCCAGTCGATATGAACGCCATAGTTCGGACAACTTTTCTTGTTTGCCACTAAGCCTGTGCGTTGCCAGTTTGGAGAATCAGTTACTTATACTCGTATCTGTGCCAAGGAGAAAGTTTGTTGAGAAAACTATTTCTGCAATTATAGTATGAAATAATGCCGAAATTAGAAAATAAAACGCATAAAAAGGC